CTCTGTGACTGTTTGTTTTTCCAGTCAATTACTTTCTGTATTTCAAATGGTTTTCACAGTTAAAAAAAAAAGTATTAAATTGTCTTTTTAAATATTCTTAATATACTAATATTATATATATATTACTTCAATTGAAAGCAATTTAAAAAAATATCATGCGCAAGCATACTAAAATCATAACATGTGATACTATTATAATTAATCGGCTTTGGAATAAAAATCAGTTCCGAGTGTAATACTGAGTTAAAAAATAGTTGAAACATCGACATTTTTTTTATGATCCGAATTACAATCAATTATTGAAAAATATTATAATACCTAATATTTAGGTATATTACCAAAAAAAAAAAACCTAAAAGTGCTAAGCTTTTTATAATAGCATGTGAAGTTACTGTGGATTCAAAAGGTGTAATAACTAGTTTGCCCTTCATTATTTTTAACAATTCTCTTAGCATTGGGGTAAAATTATTTTTTTTATGGAAGCAAGTGTCATTTATAGATTGATCATGATCAATTCTTCCGTTCACCTTTAAAAATGCACTTTGAAAATAGCCCCTAGGCTAGCCCATCAGCTCGTGCCATGCAGAAGAAAACATGATCAAACAACAAAAAAATGCATTGCTAATGTGTCTTTTAAGAAAATTAAAATATTTCATTAATGAATTTAAATTTAATTATATATTAGATGATATTTTTATTTAACATTAAAAAATTAACATATTAAATTAATCTAGATTATTGCTGATTGACACATGAAAGTTTTGGATAATCTTGAAAAAAAAAAGGTTGAGAACTTAAATCTTAAATTAATTTAATGTTAAAAAATAAAATATAAAAAAATTATTTTTTAAAGAATAAGTAATTTTGAGTCAATTAACTGAACTTTTCATATCAATCATGCACATCAATAGATTCAATAGTTAAATTTCATTTAATAGAATTATATGAAAATAAAATAAAATGTGATATTTTTTAATAAAATAGTTAAAAAAAAAAACAAATTACAGGTGTCTGAGACTGAAGACAACAAAAGCAAATCGTTGATAATAATGGATGATTTTTTTTAGTTAATTATAAAAATAAATCATCGATAATAAGGATGAAAATATTTTTTTAAAAAGAAAAACAATTACAGGTGTCTGAGACTGGAGACAACAAAAGCAAATCGTTGATAATAACGAATGATTTTTTTTAGTTAATTATAAAAATAGATCATCGATAATAAGGATGAAAATATTTTTAAAAATAATAGTTGAGATACTAAAAGTGCATTAAGCAAAAAAATAAAACAATTATACTGAATATTGTGGTTTAACTCATCAAACTTATAATCCAGACTATAAAACTAACAAAGTTAATTTTTTCTGGTATATAAAAAAAGGGAAAAAACCTCATAAGGTTAGCCAACAACTTAGCACAAGGGCCTGGAAAAGGAACAACCCAAGCTAACACACTTGAGCCTATTTTTTTCCTTTTTTATTCAAATAGGCGAACCTCTCTCTCCTTTAATATAAAAGGATTGAAAAATAAAAAAAATAAACTTTAATATTAAAATTAAATTTCTAAAGACCAAGGGGTCGATCACCTACAAACTGTAAAAAAAATAAGGAACTAAAATAAAAAAAAATTTGTTTGAAATTTGAATTCACCACCTATTTAACTTGTTATTTTCACTTTGATTTTCTAACTTTGAATCCAACCATATTGTATTTCATATGAAAAAATTAAAAAAAAATTCATGTGAATATAGTTTTTTTTAAAAAGTTTAAAATAATATTTTAAAAAGTTTTTTTTTATTCCATGTTAAAAAAATCTAACTTTTTTCTTGTGAATATAGAGTATATATGCTAAAAGGTTTAAAATCCCACATTAAAAACATATTATGTTATCCTTTTTAAGTTGAAATATTTAAACCAAAAGGTTTTTTATCCCACATTGAAAAAATATAACATTTTTCTTGTGAACATATATATATATATATGAAATAACTTTAAATCCCACAATGAAAAAATAACATTTTTCTTGGGAACATAGAGTATATATACTAAACAGTTACAAATCTCACATTGAAAAAAAATAACTTTTTTCTTGTAAACATAGAGTATATATACAAAATATATACACGAAAGTGCTTTAAATTCCACATTAAAAAAAATAATTTTTTTCTTTAAAACATAGACTATATATATCGAAAGTGCTTTAAATTCCACATTAAAAAAATAACTTTTTTCTTTAAAACATAGACTATATATATTAAAGGGTTTCAAATCTCACATTGAAAAAATATTATGTCATCGTTTTAAATTGAAGTATTTAAACTAAAATGATAACTTTTTTTTTTTGTGAACATAGAATATATATACGAAAGAATTTCAAATCTCACATTGAAAAAATATTATGTTATCGTTTTAAGTTGAAGTATTTAAACTAAAATGATAACTCTTTTTTTTGTGAACATAGAATATATATACGAAAGAATTTCAAATCTCATATTGAAAAAATAATTTTTTTTTTTGGAATATAGAGTATATTTATTAAAGAGTTTTAAATCTCATATTGAAAAAATAAAATATTTTTCTAATATTCATATAGTTTTTTTTTGTGAACATAGAATATATATACGAAAGAATTTCAAATCTCACATTGAAAAAATAACTTTTTTTTTTTGAAATATAGAGTATATTTATTAAAGGGTTTTAAATCTCATATTGAAAAAATAAAATATTTTTCTAATATTCATATAGTTTTTTTTTGTGAACATAGAATATATATACGAAAGATTTTCAAATTTCACATTGAAAAAATAACTTTTTTTCTTGTGAATATAAAGTATATATATACTAAAAAGTTTTAAATCTCATATTAAAAAAATAAAATATTTTTTTAATATTTATATAGTAAATTTTAAAAAAATATTAATAACAGAGGTGTAAGAGAAAAACTATATTTAAAAAAAAAATCAAGTTTTGTTTGAGCTAGCTCGGTTTATGAATCGACCTGTATAATTAATCAAGTTTTATTGAGTTATTACATAGATTAGGTTTTTAAACTCATGCTGATGTAGCTACAGGATAAACCCATTGAACTGTAACCAGGTGTAATAACATTGCCCACAAGAGTGAGCAAATTTTGGGCTAGATGGGGTCTGGATTGCCAATTCCATGTAAATTGACTCTCCTTGCTACAGCCTAAATTCACTTCTTGTTTTTTAAGCCAAAGAATATTTGCAAATCATTTACGCATTTAATTATTTTTTCAAATGATTTTGAAAAAACATCCTCTCGTATCGAAACCCAAAAAAAAAAAAAGAAAAAAAAAAGGAAATGAGGATATGTACCAGACCACTCCCTTTTAATTTCTTGAAGACTATAACGTCAATAAATAACACTCTTGAACTATAGGTTCTTCTACAACGCTTTCAAAGACACTTAAGAAGGCATTGGTCGTGGCTTCTAACATTCAAGTATTTTAATATTTTTTTTATGTAAGGGCTATTCAAGTACGGGATGATCAAGTATCTCACTATTTTCTCCATAAATAAGCAATGAGTTTAACATGATCACTTTTTAAAAAAAGAAATAAATAAATATTTATCTATAACTATTTATAAAAGCTCGAATTCTTTGTTCAAATTGATTTGATAAAAGCACTCTTAAAGTTTTAAGAATTATCATTTTTATTGAGAGGAAAACAGTTTTCAAGCCAAAATTAAAAATGACTTATACTCTACATGGAATTTTTTTTTTATTATCTCACAAAAAAATATACATCAATGCTTATATGTAAATTCAACTTTATCTCTAAAAACAAGAGAGCATAATATTATTTCAATATTTCCTAAAAAAATATATTAATCATTTTCATTATATGTATATTTGTACATTATATACTGATAT